CAGGAGACTGCTTCCACGCAAGAAGGAGACCTGAACATCACTACATCTTTCAAGAAAACCGGGGTGACCACATTCACCTGTAACAGTCGCTGGTTTTTGAAGGATAGCAAGACATTGAACGTTTCAGTACATCATGTGAGTCGAACGAAAGTGGATCCAGAGCCCTTGAGTCTGACATGATGGCTTGGTTGTAAATTTCTTGCAGCATAAGACTGAGGACCCAAGCTCAGATCCCCAGAGCCCTTATTCAGAGCAGGGTGTGGTGGCAAGCATCTGTAGTCTGAACACTGGAAGGGGAAAGCAGGAAGGTTTTGGAGACTGCCCAGCCAGTCAATCCAGCTAAATAAGGAAGTTGTGGGTTCAGCAAGAGACAGACTCGAAATAATAATAATAATAATAATAATAATAATAGTAACAATAATGTGTGGTGTGAGAATGAAAGATAGGCAACACTGACTTCTGACTTCCATATCTGCATGTACATATACACACATGCCACACACGAGAGAGAGAGAGAGAGAGAGAGAGAGAGAGAGAGAGAGAGAGAGAGAGAAAGAGAGAGAAAGAGAGAGAGAGGGAGAGAGTCAACAGAAGATGTGTGACCAAAGAGGCTGTAACCTCTCCCTGACAGATGCCCCACGGGCTCCCAATCCTAAGGAAATGTGGTGGATATGTCCCCCAGTCATTGTCACATCTTGTCATCAATTTGAATTAGCAGACTACTCCAGAACCAGATGCAGGCGTTGGCTCACTGACTGCTTCACCATGGCATCTAGCAAGAGAATGTAAGCCACAGGCTGTCATGAGAGCTGGGATTTCCACAGATCGCAATGCAAATAAGGAAGGGGCCCCTCTTCTTCTAAACCAGGACATCTAATTTTTGTAAGCTGCACCTCAAAGTGAGGAAGGAGAAATGGGGTTGCCTCACATAGTGGTGAGTTGTCCTGTCACGGGAGGGTCATCCCTTCTCTAGCTGGTAAACAACTTCAAAACCCTCATCTCTCTCTCTGTCAGCAACCAAGCAGGGAAGTTGCGGAGCCTCCTCTGACAGAGAATGCTTCACTAAGGGAAAGCTATTCAGTGCTTGTCAGGGCCCTCTGGTGGATTCTGCTGCCCCATGGGGATTTCCATTCAGCAGATCTGTGCACTCTTGAACTCTGGCATGGCCCTATTCAGGACAAAGACCCATTTGTCCTCTGAAAAGATTCTCAACTGTTTTTTCCAATTCCCAGTTTCAAATGCTATATTTTTGTACTTTACTCGAGCATGTTCAACTTTTAGGATTAAATTAACTCTTGTTTTAGCCTTCGTGTCATTATATTCTATCGCGATTCATCTAATGGTTTCTGATGTATGTTCCAGAGACAGCTATGCTGTAGTGTGTGTGTGTGTGTGTGTGTGTGTGTGGGTGTGTGTATAGTATTACTAATAATATCTTACATACACTTAGGAGCACATTCATAATATTTTTTAAAGCATACTTATTAGTGTGTCTTTTACAGAAGGTCAGGGGTAGCAATGGCAGATCCATTTTGTGGGTGGGAAATTTGAGACACAGAAACAGGATGCAACTTTTCACTGTACCTTCAAAAACTGCCCTGTGCTCATCTGTCACTTACACCCTCAACTAGACGCCCACCAGCACATCTGAAGTGTCCTCTCCCGCATCTTCCATATAATCCATCCTCCACGCTACAGCCTGACCAGTCTCCCCAAACGGAAGTCTGTGGATTCACATCTCTGCTCAGAGTATATCCAGCTTCTTGCTATCATATTTAGAGTGGGATCTACGTTGCTTGATTTGGCATATGAGACTATGGGTGGCCTGGCCACCACCCCTATGTTTGTCCTTGTATCCAGTCCTCCTGTGACTTCAGCCACTCTGGCCTGCCTACTGGGCCTTCTATACATTGCACTCGATCCCACACACACGCTAGGTCCCTCTGCCACAAGGGTCTCATCTCAAGGACTTTTTTTTCCCCAGAGAAATTGCTCCTCAAAATTCCAAAGGGCTGAAAAGATGGTTCAGTGGTTAAGAGCCCAGCACCCACACAGTAGCTCACAATCACCACTGAATAGTGTTCCAGGGAACCTGATGCCATCTTCTTGCCTCCAAGAGTACAAAGCACATACATGAATGAAGGTAAATATCCACACACAAAAATAAAAATAAATAAATCTAAATAAGAAGAAAATTCATCCAAGAATAGCCCCTGCTCTTTGCCCAACGCATGTCTGCACATTTAAGCCCATATCCATAGTGCTGTACCACAACGCTTGGTTTTCCTTCAAACCTTTTATTACTGTCTGAACTCACTCTGGTCATTCCTTGATGTTTGCTCATCTCTTGACTCCAGAATTCTTTGACACTAGAAAGTGTATCTGGCTTACTGTTCCATATTCACACCCTGGTACTCAACAGCAGGCATCTACCCGTCTGTCCGTCCATCCGTCTATCTGTCTGTCTATCTAGTCAGCTAGCTGTCTGCACTACCTGCCTATTGTCTGTTCCAGAGTTCAGGACTCAGTTAGACTTTGTACACACTAGGCAAGTTCTCTACCCTTGAGCTATAACACCCCCCCCATACCTGTGGGTTCTTTTTTATTGAGACATGACATTTTTGTGTTATCCAAGCTGGCCTTAAACATGTGAGGTTGCCCTGCTTCAGCCTCCCTAGCCCAGAAAATACAGGGCAGCTCCCGCCAACCAATGTTTTGACATGGATGAATGAAGGAACGAGTTAACAGAACTTTTGCTAGGAATCAGCTGCCAACTAATTCAGTGAGCGTTCTCACAGTAACTTCCCTCCTCAGCTGCTGAGTTTGCTTAAAAGCAAAAGCCATACGCGTCTGTGTGAGTCCGTTCTGTCACTGTGTTATACCTGGCTCTCATTAATCCCTCACAGCAGCAGGGATGGCAAGCTCCCTATGTCTTCTTTGTCCTTGTACCCAACCCTCCTGAAAGAGACGGGCAAGAGCCCCATGCCAGCAGCCTCAGAGCTTCCTTGGAACCCTGGAACAACATGAGTTAGAACTAAACACTCCCTCATGCAATTTCTTTCTATTTAACACTTCCTCATCCAGGCTTTACTTGATGGAAATTTCTGTGTGTTTCTCAGGGTCAGTGAGTCAGTCAGGCTCGGAATCATCAATCATGAAAAAAAAAGTCATGTTTAAGATACAGAGTGCATGGTGGGGGTGGGGGTTCTTGAGCGAGGTGGCTCCGTGATTAAGAGCACTGGCTGCTCTTCTAGAAGACCTAGGTTCAATTCCCAGTACTCACAACACGGCAGCTCACAATCATCGGTCCCAGGGGATCTGGTGCTCTCCTCTGCCCCTCTTAGGCACTGGGCTCACACGTGGTGCACAGACTTAGAGTCCGTGTCCAATATACATAAGATGAAATATTTCAAAAACTATGACTGGAGGTGTAGCTTAGTCGGTAGAGTTGCTCCCCAGTACCTCGGAAGAGTAGGTGGGGTGCCTCAGGCAGTGGTCCCACAACTCAGGAAACAGAGACACTAAAGGTCAAAGTTCAAGGTTCTCAGCTACACAGCTGGTGGGAAACTGGCCACATGTGACTTTTCACAGTAGAATAAAAAAGATAACAACAAGAGGGGTCCCCTTGAAGACGTCCTGCCCTGGGACTTGCAAGTACCTCTTGTCTCTTAAAGCTCTATGCTGAGGCAGTCTCAAAGTGGGTGTTAAATTGTACTTGTTTACAAACAAAGCTAGGGGTTGGTGGTGGTGGGTGTTCGTTAGGTCTCTTGAGTTCCTTACGAACAGTGTGAGTAGACACAGTGGAGAAGCCTTCAAAGCCAGCTACCTTGCTGTGAGGTAAACCTGGACCAGCCCTCCACACTTCACGGGGGGGGGGGGGTGCTTTCTCAATCGCCACCCCTCCTCACAAGCACTCAGTGGCTCAGTATGTTGAGTCTTCCGTCTCAGCTTCAACTAGATCAGAGACCATCCAGAAGGACAGACCATGGTACCAGTTCAAGGGTAGTAATCAGCACACGGTGAGGGAAGCTTCTGTGTGCAAATGCCAGGGAAGGGAAATCGCTCTCAATGCCTGACTTCAAGGGGCTGAAGTTGGCACACCAAGGATACTGAATTAACAAGCTCTCTCCTTCATAAGGCTACCAGGGTCCCCTTGGGGAGAAAAACCTGCCTGGGTGCCCACAGCTCTCTGGTGACCAGAAGATATTCTCTTTGTTTGGACTCTGCTGCCCTGATCAATGTGACTCTAAGATTCGTTTGCCAGCCTCTGGCATTGTGCTTGCTTCAGGGAATATACCCCCTCCTGCTCAGACACCAGTCCCCAGGCTCTCATCTGGGTCAAAGACAGCTTGTGCAAGTCTGATTCAGTAGCCTGTGCCGCCCAAACCAGAATCGTTGTGTCTTTTGGAGGTGACAGCTCCCATGTCTAAGAGCCCGACACACCTCTCCTTCCTTCCTTCCCCCGACTTGGCAGGGATTCCCATGGGTCCCAATGGAAGCCTCAAGACTGTGTCCTCTTTTCTGGTCTTGCTTGGCTTTGTAAAAAATCCAGCCTTAAGGGTGGAATAACTAACATTTTGTCTGGCTTGCAGCAGGATGCTCCAAGCAGGGGCGATATTGCTTTATTTTTATTATTCTATTCTCAGATTCCTTAAATCTGGGCTATCCCTCACATGGAAGTGTGCCTCGGCGTCCAAGAATGAGATCTACAGACAAACATTTTCCTGCATGCTCCCGGTTCATCTGCCCCCCCCCCCCGCCCGCTGGAATTGACTTCTTAGGGTGGCTTTCTCAGAAACATTCCCTCATCTTCCCTCAACAATTCTGGATTCCTATTCCTGGGGGCCTCTGTGGTCAGTTCAGAATCAAACAGGAGGGCTCTGTGGTTCCAGCCCTCCCTCCCTGCTGTCCTCTCCAGTCTGCGCTCCGATGTCCCAGTCACAGCCTGGTCACAGCCTGGTGACAGCGCCAGAGGACCCTCGCAGTCCCGGGTTCCTTACCTAGGCACCGCGGTGAGTTTACTCCCAGGTACCCGGGGCTCTGGGCGCACCGATGCCACCAGCGCTAGCCAGATCCAGTGCTTCTCACAGCCAACACCGCAGGCCTCCAGATGGTCGTTTCCACCCTGGGCTAGGGTATCTCTGAGATGAGATGAGCAGACGCTTAAGATCTATCCCTAGGCTCCACACTCCCGCCCCGGGTTGCTGTGGAGGAGGGACAGGGGAGGAGCCTGTGGCCCGGCCTCCCGCCAGTACTGAGCAGCTGCAGCTCAGGCTCACACAGTGCTCGCCCCAGGGCGGGCCACTATCTGGACCTCCTCAGGAGCCCACGCACGTGGATGCCGCCTCTCCTGAAGTTGCGATGGGTTCCTAGGTTCTTAGTTAGACATCCCAGGCTCGCCAGGTCTGTTACTCGAGGAGCTGTGCCCCCCAGCCCCAGCCCCCCCGCAAATCCACAAAGTTCACCGAATCACTGAGCACGGTTTGGAATCTGAAAAGTTCTGCACAGTCCGCATTTTGATACTTTGTACCCGGAATTCCAGTTCACTCCTTGTGTACACTCTGCCCCAGAATGGAAGGCCGGCCGTTGCGTAGCCTTTGCTTTGCGATTTTGAGAGACATCGTATTTAAGGCTCTGTCTCAGCTCAGTCTAACTCAGTTATTAGCGCTTGTGGGAAGGCAGTTCCCTCCGAGCAGAAACATATTCCCCCAGATATGGAACTTTTTGTTTATCTCCTGAGGCTCCGGAGCTTTGCCCCTCTTTAAACAAAAAGTCCCGTGTCTGGAGGAACAGAAACTTGGAAGATTCTCGAGGACCCCTCCACAGCAGCCTATTTAAAACGCAGCAAAAAAATGGAGGTGAGGGAGGGTGGCAGTTGGAGAGTAGAGGAGGGATTTGGCTATTTCCTTAGCAGAGGTGCTTACAGGTATGCAGAGAGCTGCAGGGCTGCAGCTTTAATGGCTCTTCTGCCCTGTCCCCAGCCCCTGCCACTCCCCCTGTTGTGTGTCCTTTTCAGTGATGGAGTTGTTCATTCCTGCTCCTTAAAAATAACCCTCTGCCTATACTCCTGTTAGGAGCCCCAATGCAAACTCATCGGTTTACTAAGATAGACACCGAGGGAACTGTAGTATGTATGAATCAGTCTGGGTTCCCTTCCTGGGGTTTATAGACATGCTTTGCATCTCCTTCACAAAGTCTGTCACGCAATCCTGTTTTCTCTGAAATGCCATCCTTTAATTTTCAAAGTTTTCTTCTCAAACCTATTTTCCAATAATTTTTAAACATCTTTGTGTCGATATTTTGCTTATGATCTAACAAATAAAGCTTTCCTGAAGATCATGGAAGCAAAGCAGCTAGCCACTTGAGAATTCTCACCTCTACCAGTGCTCATACCAAGGATCCTGTCCTCTGATTGCTCCTCCAGACTGCACTGCTCTCCACCAAACCTCAGAGTTCCCTCAGCTCCTGTCTTCTCCTCCCTATATTCCTCTCTAGTGCTGGGATTAAAGGGCATGGGATCCCAAGTGCCGAGATCACCTTTGCATGAGCTCTGTTTCTCTTTTAGACTGGATCAATTTCCTGTAGCTCATTGTGGCCTTGACCTAACAGAGATCCATCTGCCTCTGTCTCCCAAGTGCTAGGATTAAAGGTGTTTACCACCACTGCCTGGTCTCTACGGCTAACTAGTGTGACTGCCAGGATTAAAGGTGTGTGCCCAGCACTGCCTGGCCTCTACGACTAGACAGTGTGGCTGCTGGGATTAAAGGAGTGTGACACCACTGCCTGGCCTCTTTGGCTAGCTAGTGTGGCTAACTTTGCCTGATCTTCAGGAAAGCTTTATTTGTTATATCATAAACAAAATATGTCCGCACATCTTCATCTAAAACTATTTAAAAACTTGAGAGAAAGTAGGTTGAAATTTGTATGTAGTACTACAATATTATATTTTTAACATTTTTTTTGGTTTTTTGATACAGGGTTTCTCTGTGACTTTGGAGGCTGTCCTGGAACTAGCTCTTGTAGACCAGGCTGGTCTTGAACTCACAGAGACCACCTGACTAAAGGCATGCACCACCACTGCCTGGCTAGATAGACTGAATTTCATTTAGTCCTTATGAACTTTGAATAATTTTCTGCAGGGGTGAGAGTGGAGAGACAGTGTGGAGTAGCCATTAAGATACAAACCCAATAACTGAGAACTGCTTCTAAGATATTTATGGAGGCCTGCAGATACCAGTTCAGGGGCAGGGCACTTGCCTGGTGTGCATGAGGTCCTAGGTTCAGCCATCATTACCAAAAAATAACATTTGTGGAGTTTAAGCAACCCAACCCAAACAACCAACCAAACAAACAAACAAACAAGGATAAGGTATGGCTGTAGCTTGAATAGGAGAAAACATGGATGGTAAGAACCTGGGGGTGATATGGGAATCTCCCTGGATATGTGGGAAGCTTTGTAAGTCCACATGGTTGATGATAGTTAAGCTGGCTTCATAGAAGTGGAGTCCTGCCATCTGGTGATAACACCTCTCCTGGTGACATCACCTCCAGTGGTGGAGTCCAAGCCATGAAGTGATAACACCTGTCCTGGTGACATCACCTCCAGTGGTGGAGTCCAAGCCATGAAGTGATAACACCTATCCTGGTGACATCACCTCCAGTGCTGGAGCCCAGCCATGAAGTGATAACACCTGTCCTGGTGACATCACCTCCAGTGCTGGAGCCCAGCCATGTGGCAATACAACTTTCCTGAGAACAGAGAGGAAGTGTAAGGACCCCCAAGACAAAGTTATTAGCACAAAGAAGATTTATTTGCCCCAGGGAAAAGAGGTGGGGATAAGGGACAAGGACAGGAGATAGAGGATGGGAGGAGAGAAAGGGAATGGAGGAGAGAGGACGGGGTATTTGTCCTGGAGTGAGACAAAGGACTGCCTCTGGATAGAGATGAAACAGACGTGATACATAAGCAAATGGCCGTTTATAAAGACACAGAGAAACCTTTGTTAGGATGAGCTGTTTTATTTCAATAGTACATGTTAATCAGGGCAACCAAAGGAGGCTTTTGATTGCTGGACCTTGGTAGTCAGCCTCAGGAGGAGGAAGTGGCCGTATAAGGGAGTAGGCTTCGGTGACTAGTTTCAGGAATATAATTTAATAGTTTTTAGCAAGGCAGAGAAAATGGGGAGATGGGCAAGGCCTGCCAGAGCCATGTTTTCCAGGCCCAGAGTGGCCAGAGTCCCTTCAGGGATGTCACTTGTGCCTAGAAACTGCGAGGTGGATTAAGAAAATTCAGAGTTGACAGTAACTTTAAGAGAAATATTTTCATGGTCAATGCATAACACTGATAAATTATTGCATCTCTCAACCCTTAGCAGAGAAGCTTCAGTTTGCAGCATATGTTGATTAACACAGAGACCCATAACTGCTCAAGGAGCAGAGAATGCTTAGCCCTAATTGGAACGCCTACTGTGCCCTCTCCTCCCAGGCCCAGGGATCATTATGGAGTGGGGGTGGGGGAGCAGAAAGACTGTAAGAGTCAGAGGTAGAAGATGAATGCAAGGAAACAGTATCCCCTGGACACAGCGGGACAGCCACACAGAAGCTGACAGAGTGCACAGGCTCCCTGAAAGCTCAAGCCTTGTGGAATCCGGGCATGGAGAAGTGAGGTAGACAAGAAGTCCCTCCCCTAGCTGAGGAGTTATTGGCTTCTGGGAGATGGATAGTCAACTTTCTTTAAGAGGGTTGCCCACTGGTAGGTGGTCAATGAAGGCCACACACCCATGATTATGTGCAGGACAAATGGATTTGATGCATGAGGGGAAAAAAAGATACAGAGTTGGTTGGTAGGGAAAGGGGAGTGGATCTGGGAAGAGTTACAAGAAAAAGCTAAGAGTAAATTTTAAAAGTGATATGTAATAGCTTCTCAAAAATCTAATCAAAATAGAAAAAATAGAAATTAGATATTCTTCCATAGACTGATGTGGGGCATTCACCAGAGAAGACTGTTTGGACATGGGTTTAAGCCAATAGACAGTCTTTAATAGCTGAGCAGCAACTACACTGTGTGTTCCGGATCCCAGCACAGCACTGAGCCTTTCTCAGGGTGACCTTTTAAGTACAAAAGCCATGCTCTGGGTTGACACACTCCAGTTAACAAGAACAGTTACCCAGAAGACAAAAAGCAAGATTAGTACATCTAGAGACTTTCCCAGAACTATAGACTTTGATAGATTAGACCTTTGTTCTAGTTTTGGAAGGTAGTACTGTCTACATATGGTGATTTTATGGCCTGAATGGAACTTCTGTCATAGAGTCAGTTATGCTAAGGTCTGGGGGCCTACTAAGGTCTAGGACCCTGTTACAAGCCTAATTTCATCAGACAATTATTTGACAATTTGGTCAGTTTGGTACAATACTACAGCTATATTTCAAATACAAATATAGTGATTAAAATCAGAGAGCAGCTAGGTGATGGTGGTGCACACCTTTAATCCCAAAACTGTGAGTCTGAGACAAGCCTGGTCTACTGAGCAAATTCCAGGACAGCCATGGTTATATAGAGAAACCCTGTTTCAAAAATAGATGGATAGATAGATAAATCGACAGACAGACACATAGTTGCACAGGGCAAGGAAACCTGGGCTTGAATCCAGCTCACTGAGTCTACCTGCAAGGCCTTGGGCAAGTTTGACAGGTGTTGAATCCCCAAGCTTTCTAATCTACAAGCTGAAAATAACAGTAGCTTCTGAAGGTTTGCATTGAGAATTCAAAGGGATAATTCAACCATGGGTGAAAATGCACAGCTGTAATTCAAACTGTTGGGGTGTGGATATACAATGCAAAGCCAGTCGGGTCCATATGAATGAAAATTTATCTTAGTAAATAAATAAAAAACATATAAATAGAACAATATATGTAAATGCTTAGGACAATACTTGGCCAAGTGAGTTCTTGATAGATGTTAGCAATTTATACATATGTAAGGCATGCATATTCATGAAATACATAGGGAAGCTAGTTAATTTATAAGTGAACATGAATTTCTAGGAAGAAGTGAAAAATACTGATGTTGTCCATGGGTGAGGAGAATATTCACAGAGACAGTGTTACAGGAGTAGCTAAATAGAATATCAAGTCAGAGAATGGAGCCCCAGGGCCAGGAGTTCAAAGGTGTCAGGGTATAAGAAGTCCAGA